TCTCGAGCAGAACCGGTTTTTCAAATCTATTGCACGAGAGAAATTCAGTACGTGAGAAGTCGTTATGCAGAGTTATGCGAAAGAGAGTACACTGCCAAAGTATTGGCACAGCTAATTTTTCACAATATATGCAACAATTTTTATTCTAATATATTTCCCCCAATTTTGTATAAAATTATGGTTCGTTCTACAACAAAAACCATAAAAATATAATTCCTAAACTTTGTGCAAAACTCGCGAAAATTGAGCAAAATTTCAACTTTTTAATCAGATTTATTAGAATTTTTTTGATTACGCAGATTGGTAGCCCAATCTATTATGATGATTATTATGATAAAGTACAAGTTCTAAGCAGCTGGGAATTACCGTTGATTTTTCGCAATTTTTTTCACGCAGTTTCTTCCATACAAAATTTGTTTTTCGAAAATACTTTACATGAAAAAATGCAAAACACCTTCAACAAAAAAATTCTCAAAAATCAATGCGATTTTTGACTAACTCTGAAATTGCATACTCAACAAAATTCTAAAAAAATCTGATTAAAAAGTGGAAAATTTGCATTAAAATTTCCTGAATTTGAGCGAGTTTTACATAAAGTTTAGGAACTATATTTTTGAGTTTTTTTGTTGCAGGATGAACCATATTTTTATACAAAATTGGCTGAAGATTATTAGAATAAAAATTGTTGCATATATTGTGAAAAATTTTTCTGTGCCAATACTTTGTTCCGGTAGTGTATTTATACGAACAACCCCTTAAATTTGGAGCAATTATAGGACAAGATACGTGAACTTCCCCCAGTTTTTGTGTGAAAAAATAATCGAACATTTCCCAGAAAATATACATAGCTAACTACATATATTTAAGAGATGTGGGTTTTCACGTTTAAGGAAAAACTGGAAATTTAAATATTAAGTACCACCCAAATTAATTTATAAATATGTATGTATGTATCTCGTAATATAAGTATTTACAGGTTTTCGTTTGGCTCACAAATGCGCACAGCTGAAATTACAATTACCTTTACCATCGTCATTGCCATTACCATAACCATTACCCTTAAAATTACCATTATCATTATCATTAATATAACCATTACCATTACCATTACCATAACCATCACCATTACCATTGCCATTACCATTACCAATACCAATACCTTTATCTTAAAATTTGGCATGTCCATTACCACTGCCATTACCATTACAATTACTATTATCATTGCCATTACCATTTCCATTACCATAACCATTAACTTAACCATTACCCATTACCATTACATTACCCATTGCCATAATCATTTCCGTTGGCGTTTTCCGAGAAAATTCTTATCTTTTGTTGTTTAAAATGGTCTAGTTTTCTCTATTTTTTCAATACCCGTCGTAACTGTGCTGTTGCAATATTTGCAAAGTGAAATTCGTATCTATGGAACTTCGTTTTTACCGATTCGATAAGAAAGATAAAGAGAAAGCTTTATAATATATATAACTTTATTTTTAAAGTAAATATTAAAGATTTATTATTACATTTCTGTGGTTAAAATGTGGAAGAATCGCCTTTGTATACCCAGTAATCTACAAAAAGCTTAATTTATTTATATCAATATACTCGGGTATCCTATAAAGTTCAGCACCCACATACAACAATATATACATATTTTGAGAATAACTCATTTTCCCGTTCATTTTTGTAGTGAACGACATCACTTTTCGCAGCTTAAAGTATCTAACCGTTGACGACATAAATGCTGCCATACGACACCTTGGCTATCGAGCCGAGTTTCGAGAAAAACTCTTCGCCTGGCGAAATGAAAAGGTGAATCCGAAATTAGCGCTATCAGAATTCGAAGAAAAAAATATTCTTGCGTTTTTTNGACGACATAAATGCTGCCATACGACACCTTGGCTATCGAGCCGAGTTTCGAGAAAAACTCTTCGCCTGGCGAAATGAAAAGGTGAATCCGAAATTAACGCTATCAGAATTCGAAGAAAAAATATTCTTGTGTTTTTTTTCNCGAGCCGAGTTTCGAGAAAAACTCTTCGCCTGGCGAAATGAAAAGGTGAATCCGAAATTAGCGCTATCAGAATTCGAAGAAAAAAATATTCTTGCGTTTTTTTCTCTCCAACAGTTTCCTACAATAGACAACAATAAACCGATTTTGACAGCCGCCCAACAGCTGGTGGCGCCCACAAATGTAGCAACCAAAAGAACGCCCACTTCAATTGTAGCACCCGCAATATCCGTACAATCACTACAACAACTACAAGCTACACCGAATAGCTTGCAAACAGTCACAGCCAATGCGACCACCAACAATGCCATAGCAACTCCAACTGTCACACCCAGCAATGTTGTCGGTTCTTCCGTCCCTGCGGGGATAACAACCACACCAACAACAGGATCGGCGACCATTATCAAACGCAACATGGCACCAGCTGAGGATTTCCTGAGTATGCTGCCGGGCGTAAGTGGCACAACCGCGCGCATGAGTAATAATATGCCTGCCGTTGTGTTAGAGCCGACATTAGATTCACGCGGCGCATTCAGCTTTATGCCGCAATCGGCCAAAGCACCAAAACGACACTCAATGGCAACGATAAACACGCCAACAACAACCGTAACACCAACAACGACAGCAATCGCAGCGACAATGGCGACAAGAGCTTCGACAAAAACCATAAATGCCGAGCAGAATTTTATGTTGACGATTGGAGGTGTCGCCGGCGAGGGTAGTAGTAATGCAAGTGCAAGTGGGAGCAGAGTTGCAAATGTGAGCGGCAACAGCAGCAGCAACAATGTTGCGGAATTAGGGCATGGTGGGAGCAGCGGAATGGGCTATTCACCTAAGGGGCCATTGATTATGAACTGTGCCAAAGTGGTAGGTGGATAGAAAGGGACGAGCTGGCTTTGAGATGATACTCGTATTTCATGTGCTTTGCTTTTTGATTTGTGCATTCTGCTTTTGTGACTGCATTAATTTTACATGTGTTCTTGTAGGACACGGTGAAGGTGCTGCAGAGCTCACATATCGGCCAACGCATCAACCAATTTTACAACAAAAATGGCTACCTTGAGAATCATCAGCGCAATGAAATTGTACGCCTCATTGTCGCCGATGTGATGCGTCAGGGGGAGACGCTGTGCCCAAAGGATCTGCGTGCAATTTTGAGTGACATCATAACGCTATTTCCCAATGAGCAGGCCGCAGCGGTAAGTACCCGTGGCTGTGTGATGTGCTATTGTGTGGAGTGTGCAAAAACCTAATTTATGCTGAAATGTTTCACTTCTCTCATTTCCGCTATGCCTGCAGGATTACTACTTTATCTACCGTGGCGGCAAGGGCAACCCACTGGGGCGCCTCTATCAACGCTACTCCAATGAGAATGTCAAGCGTCGTCGTATGATACGCCTCAGTGATGATGAGGACTGCAGCACCTATGACGTTGATATGACGCAACAAATGAGCAGTAGCAGCAATCTAATGGATGATGACGACACCATGTCTACGTATCCACCAGACTTGCCGGGTCAGGTGCCACGCGTTGATGAGATGACTGCGCTGGCTTTAAAGCAGCTACTCACCACAGATCATTTTAGTTGGGAGGAAGTTTGCGATAAGTGGATACAAACGTGGGCACTGCGGCAGAAGGAATTGCAGCAGAGCGGCTTGGCGGATCTGCTGACCAATTGGTCCAAGTTGGGTGATCCACGTGCAGCAGAGTTGGTATGTACGGAGGTGATTTTGTTTAAGGCATTATTTGAAATGTTTTCTTTTTGCAGTATAAGATCGACTTTCGTCATGTTTACCCGGAAAAGGAAAACCTATTGATTGCCAAATGGGATGAGTATATAAGGAAAGTAACGTCGCAGTTTGATAAGAAACTCAATCAGGATGATTTAAAAAAACTCTACAAATATTGTAAAATGGGCATGGCAAGCAAAGGTGAGTAGACAATGGGACGGTTTGAGCCCTTTTCGATACTACATATTCTGTCTATTCCCGGAGTGATTTCGCAATTATAGAAATTTTTCGTGAGCGTCTAACATGTTTCAAGGGTTGTCCGGGATTTTTCGGATTTTCCGGACTAATTCGAGATTTTAGGTACTATTTTGGGATTATCGGGAGTAATTCGGGATTTTAAATACTAGTTCGGGATTACTATTGTATGCAGCCTCTAGCAGTGTTCAATAGCTTTCCGAGATTTTTCGGGACTTTTGAGGTTTCAGACTCGTTGAGATTAATTCGGGGTTGTCTGAACTAATTTAGGATTCTAGGGGCTTATTCAAGGTTTTATGGACTATTTAGCGATTAACGGGAGTCATTCATTTTTTGATGAGATTTCATAGGATTTTTCGGTACTTTGCCCTGTTTCAGGCCTAATTAAGTATTTTCGAACCAATTCGGGATTATCGCACCTAATTTGCGATTTTCGACTTCTTCGAGGTTTTAGGGAATGTTTGGGGAATATAGGAAGCCAGTCGGAATTTATAACTAACTCCGGATTTTGATTACTAACTCGGGCTTACTATTGCATACAGCGGATAGCATTTTTTATGGGATTGTCGGAGGATTCTCGGAGCTTATTCGGGGTTTAGGGATTTTTTGGGGATTATCGAGAGTCATTCGGAATTTGTAACTAATTCGGGATTTTAGGTACTAATTCGGGATTACTATTGTATTAAGCCGCTAGAATATTTTTAAGGGATTATTTGGACCTTGGTTCTCGAAAAATCGCAAGAGCGCGAGAAGAAATACCGAAAAATATCGAAAAAAAATCCCGAAAAAGAAACGAAAATACACAAAGTTTAACACAAAATTCAACATTTTCGAAATATCGCGAAAAGTAAGACACACAAGTTTCCGAATGTCTTGGAAATATCAGAAAAAATAACAGCGAACGTTAGCAAAAAATTCCGACAAAATCCGGACACAGTCTCGGAAAACCTCTAATGGGTTTACGAAGGTATCGAAAAAGAAAAATTTTATAAAAAAAAATTAAATAAAAAATCCGAAAAAACGAACTGCCTCGAAAAAATCCAAAAAAAGATTGAAATGTCTCGGGAAAACGCCAAGAAAGGCGAAACATCCTATTTAATTTTAAATTTTAAACAATTTAAAGCAAACACTACAAATCAAACAAAACAAATCTTTACAACTACGAAAATCTATTTCTACCTACAACTTGCAATCAGCTTCTTAATTTCTCTCTTTTTCAGATGAAAAGGACTTCGTCTACGCCGTTGGTCTGACCGCTCTACTGCCTTGTACGAGCCGCTTTAAGGATCACTATGGCAAGCTGAGCATACGCGCCAATCTGACTGACAGTATCGATTCTTTTGTAATGCGTCTCAATTCGCTTGAGTCCTATGAATCCCGCTTGGATTTATATAATCGCAAATATGGGCCAGTGAATCGCACCACGCAGCCATTCTTGGTGGTCATTATGCCCAATGAATGCACCATTTCGAAAATCTATGTGGCATTGGAAAATCATTTCTATTGCATGCAATCATTTTTGCAAGCACTCGATTTATGTTACAAGATTTATCACACCTGCGG